TTTATTTCTCAGGAAAGTAAAGGCGAGTGGACTTAGCAAAAGGCAATTTCGTGTTTCGTTGAAATTGAAAGTTAAACGACAGCAGCAACCTAAGTAGAAGAACAAATTTGCAAAAGGAAAAAACTGATTGGTAATTGATAGGAGCTACTTAATAAAAGGTGAACTAAAACCAAAAAAAAAAATTTCGTTAAACTTGAAGTTTAAGGAAGCGAATTAAGAGTAAACTTTTGTTACAGCCAACTTGGACCAGCAGTAGATCTGACTTGAAGCAGCCAGCTGCGGACAGCAAATCGTTTGCCATTTGTCGGCGCATAGAAATGACTTTGCTGCGTGTCTGAGTGCAGTTTGCAGATGCTACATTTTTAATGTCGCACGTCTACAACGAGAAGAAAGCAAAGGAGTGACCAAAATAAGCTTAGACATGTGAATATGTGATGACGTGTGTGTGTGTGTATTACAAGTTAAGAATTTTAAAGTTTCTTTCAGACAAGTTATTTTAAATGAAACTTCAATACGCATTCCGTAAAATAAATCGAATGCAACGAAATTGGGTTGCGCAACAAAATTCCGTCACACTTGCCATGTACGAAGTGCAATACAGTGATTGGCATTTTTCAAATTGAATATTTTTTGTTGATTCCATTTTTCATACATTCGAATGGTGGAAAATGTACAAGGTTGCCACCTGTTTCAATTTTTTTTTACAAAAATAAAACTAGAATATGACAATCGAAATAATAGGGAAATAAGAATGTTTCAATATAGGTTCCAATAAATATTATATTTTTAAAAGTGTTGCCACCTGATTTGACTTTTATTTCAATAAAAATTATAAGGCTTACAAGTAACTACAACAAAAGCATCAAAGTAAATACATAGATTGAAAAAGTATAAGGGAATTTGGTCTAGGGTTACCACCTGTTTAATTTCTAATTAAATAGCTAAAATAAGTTGAATAGTTTAATTTGATAATCAAACTAAAAATTAAAGAAATTATTTCTGATTGAATTATTTTTGAGACGGATGCCACATGCTTGGGATCCACAAAAAAAGGCAACCAGAAAGGTTGCCACCTGTTTAAAAAAATTAYCTTACCAAAATAAAACCACAATATAGCAATCGAACTAATGTTTTTAATAAAGCTTCCTACAGATAATATTTAATGGAATGTGTTGCCACCTGACTAAAATTTTTATTTCAATAAAAATGTTAAGCCTTGCAAATAACTCAAAAAAAMAAAATCTAACTGAATTTGGTCTAGAATTGTCACCGTTATACTTAGTTTTAATCAATTAAATTTTTAAAATAAATGAAGTAATTTAATATGAAAATCAAACTAAAGACATTGAGGATCATTTTTATTTCAAAAATTTCATTGTTTGTTAGAAAAAAGGACACAAGAGAGAAAAATATGTRGCTAAGAATTATCTGTAATACTTATCTCAATTTCCTAATTGAATTTGATGGCAACACCGCAATAGGAACATTTCAGTGATTTAACACTTAAATAAGGACCAAAAATAATTTTTTATAAATTAAATTTATTTTTCAGTAGCAAAACGTTTGGTAACCATCCTATATAACCCGCACACTACAAATAGACACAAACTTAACTCAGGCATTCCATTACAATTAACTTCCCTCTTTCAAATGAACTGCCGTCAGACCTGCACCTCTCACGGTATATAATTTATTAGCAAAAGTTAATGAAATGAAAAATAAGCGCTCAACTCTACTCAGACTTTATATGTTACTTTTATGCTACATTAATGAAGATATTTGGCTGAAGAACCAGAAAAAACGAYAACAACAATAAAAACGCAAGCAAACGACGACCAAGTAGCTGACTAAATGGCTGACTGACTGACAATGCTTTGATTGATTACCGCTTGGCATGCAACAGTGTGTGAGTTGGAACTTATTAGGGTAGGATTTGGAAGRAGAGTGGGAATAGACATATGTGTAGATATATGTGCATAAATGTGTGAACGTAATGTTATGCTATATTTACACGGTGATAATTTTGTGCGATTCGTCTATAAGCCCCTGTTGGAATTTATTAAGTTAGCTGCTTACATCGAGCACACACTGAGCGAGGCGCACTGAAGTGAATGACTTGCTTTGGAAAAAATATTATTTGACATATTAAAGTCGAATCTTTTTTGAGACAAGCACTCCCGAAATCTTGATCTGACTTGTACTGACAAAAGTGWGTAGGGGAACGCCACAAGGTATAGTTCTCTCTCCTCTTCTATGCATCCTGGTCGTTAACAACCTGCTTTAAGAACACTTGAATAGCGTGCCTGCCGGGCAGGAAATTGTTAAGCTGATGAGCTAGAATGAAAAGGCAGGAAAGGTAGAATAGTTATCGATATAACGGGAGTGGATCGGTGCTCCCGCATCCTCTTGACTTCTACTGTTAGATAGCTGGGCATCGTTGAAGCTTAACCAGCGCTGGGTCACCATCGGTACATGCCCTGTCGCAAAAACCTTTTGGCCCAAGTTCGATGGCAAGAAATCTAGTGATTTCTTTACCTACAGTGAGGCTAGCCTTTCCCTGTTGTGGGTATGGAAATACTACCAGACGCCATCTGCAGAAGCTGTATGGAAGAACATGAAATGTAGAAAGTTCGACACTTCTTTCGTGACTGGCGCGTCGGAAATAGAAATTAAATGCCTGCAAAAGGATTTTCATGATATCTCTAAATATTAGTTTAAAGATCACTCGAACGCTTTTTACACATACAAGTCTCCAAAAATTCTGCAGTCTTCTTTCATTCCTACTACATCTTTGATTTACTATAGGGTAGTTAATGAAACCAACCAACATTAGTATCACTCTACATTCGCTTGAATTATATCAAGCAGTGCACTGCGAGCTGAGACATCACTGTAAAAGAAATAAATGAATACCTCACATACTACCTCTGGCATATTGCTAGCGTATTAATGCGGTCATAAATGTTTGTTGCCATTTTGTTGCTGTTAAAAGGCAAATAATACTAAAACAAAATAAGCATTAGCGCTCTTCTGCTATGAGAGTATTTATTATGTTGCAAGTTGTTGCGAGTTCGCACGTTTTATTTTTATTTGTACAGCCTCACATATGAAAGTACGAGAACAAACAATAATGTATTATTTTTATGATTAAAGAAGAAAAAGAAGTGCTGATAAGTCAATTTTTGGAGCGAAAATTAAGTGTGAAATCATTTTCGTGTTGCAAACTTTTTCATTTGTGAGAATAAAGTCGGAAGTTTGTACTTTAATGACACTTATTGATTGCAGCTGATGGAAAATATAATTAAGAAAAAATATAAATGTACTTCAGGTTATTTATTTCATCGGTTTAATGAGAAAGTACTTCTTTTGAAGTATTTGCAAGGCCTAAGAAAATTTACGAAAGCAAAAATTTCCCCCAAGGCTTGACCAAAAATGCAAGAAAAGAAATATAATATCACATTCAAATAATAAATCATTTGTGCTATCACTTAATTAAAATAAATTTTAACTTCTTCGCCTCCTTGCACCAAAAATAAGAGTTTTTCCGCTGCTTTTCTTTCTGCTGTATGTGTTAATTAATAATTGATTTATGCGATTTTTAATGCAAAAGTTCATCGTATCCGTATGAGACAAAATTTATGAAGACTAATGGCTAATGACGATTGTGCAGAAATGGAATTCTTTAAGACACAAAAAGTTTACAGGAAAAAGTTTCGGTTCCTTCGACTTCTGATGCATTATTGGGGTGGTAAATAATGACAGTTTTTTCAGATTATAAACTAGAAAACTTCTAAATCGTGATAATAGGTTGTCAAAAAAGTATTGCGGTATTTTTATTGAATTTTCAATTGTTCATAAAATTTTTTTGTTGACTCATGCCCAGCTCTTGACCTACGCTACGGCTGCTACTATGCCGGTCTCTTTCGACCAATTCAGCGATTTTATCGGAATTTTCGACGACAGGCCTTCCGGAGCGTGACGCATCTTCGACCACCTCTACACCAGAACGAAAACGTTGAAACC